AAACCTACATACACACATATATACAGATAGATAGATAGATAGATAGATAAAGTCGGATGCACTCGGAATGAACAAACATTTAGACATTGTTTACACACACCATATCCCAAAATAAATCTCTTTTTCCTATTCAAACAAAATACAATAAAATAGTCAGCCATTTTAGCGAAACATATATTAGAAATGTATGCACAACTATATATATATATATATATATATATATATATATATATATATATATATATATATATATATATATATATATAAGGTCATAATTTACTCGGTGTTTTCGGGAATTAAAAACATGTCTATCAGCAACTTGCACACCATCTAGAGATTAGCTGAAGTCGATCCAAACTAACAATTATTTGGGAAATTTCTACATACATTATCTCTTGTTCATACTCAAGAATAGTATATATATATATATATATATATATATATATATATATATATATATATATATTATGAAAATTCGACAATTATTTTAATATACTTTCTGTTTATACGCTATTTTTATAGATACAATTATTTAAGTAAATGCCCTGTTTATAATAAATAGTATTAATTACATTTACTGGTCTGAATGTCCGGGGTTATAGTGAGTGGAAGTGTGAGAAAAGACTGAGTATAGGAAGGAGTGAGGGAAGAATAAAAGATGAACGTGATTCAAGAAGATAGAAGATGGCGATTGACATTGCATTTAAATTGTTGAAGATTGTAGTTATCAGGGAAGCAAGTAAATGGAAAGGAGTTCAACAGGCGGGAAATGACAGTTACATTTAGCTATTGGAACACTAAACGGGTGGGACCTAGATGCCATTCTAGTAGCCTGTTTGAATTCATGTAGTCAGGGTACTAGGAAAAAAAAAGTTAGAGCAGTTTCCATGAAAATATTTGGAGAAAATTCAGAGGGAATTGACTGAAGTCGAGATGCCAGGTCAGGATCGATTACATTGCAGATCCTTCTTTGTATTTTGTCAAGAACCTTGAGACGAATAGCAGGAGCACCAGACCAGATATGACAACAGTATTCAATGTTCGGTCGAACGATAGATTTGTAAATATGAAAGATGGACTCTGACGAGACAAAATTTCTATTTGACAGAATAGCCAAAAAGCTGGATGATATCCATTCTGATCGCCCTACAGCTACTATTCAATATGTCATACCATTTCAATATTCACCTTAATGGGGAGTGCACTTAAACATAACTGACGAAGAAGGGCATGACTTCTCCATTGCATACGAACAGACCCAGATAGCGAATAAGCCTACTCGTATACCCGATATGGCTACGCAATATATATATATATAGCTAGTCACTCGTATTCGAGGATATCCGTCTACTAGGGCAATCCCTGTTGCAAACGCTTGCTCAGTCGCATTTGTGTTTATTTAACACCCACAGAGCCCACCTGTGGTTTATACTGCAACTATGCTGAGCAGATCTTAGTTACAGTTTCTGGGAATGAGCGTGTTTTCTAGCGGGATCAACAATTTGAACAAAATCAGCAAGCTCAATCCCTCGGCCACGATGACTTGTGACTTCGTGCTGGCACAGTTATCGACGGGCAAAAAGGTTCACAAGGCTTGGACCAACCTGTGGTATGGCTTTCAGGCACTTTCCAAAGGTGTTGCATTCTGAGATAACATCAGGAAGTCTCCTTCCTGACAAATCGACCATAGTGAGATTCGAACCCGGGACTCATGGTCAGAATGGGAACGTTCTAACCACTCGGCCAAGCGCTATGCAATGTACTAAACTCCTAAACCTCTTTCATACCTCCTGTCCAGAAAAGAAAAAGCTATACTGAATTGTTACCTCCCTTGGGTACCTCCTATTACTCACTGATCAATGTCAACATTGATGCTAGACCTAAGGCTTCCTCCGATCACCCATTTTGAAAACTCCAAAACTAACTAGGATAGCTTCAGATCATACGTTGCCCGTCTTTCAGCATTCTTCAGAAATAGAACTTCCAGAACAGCTACTATTAGAACCAACAAAGGCTGAATAGCCAGCCATGCCGTGACTATAGCTCACTACTAACATTTCTATCAGAAGGAGCGATGTAACAGAACACTTATTGCTTTTAAGACAGTCAGTGTCAGTGGAAAAATGCTCAGAGCTGCTATGCACAAGCTGTCCAAACCAAAGCCGAAAACAAAATTACTTGACTGGACAGTCCCATCGATCCCTAAGGGTTTTATCGACCATTTTGAACATAACTGCTCTAACACAAATCCACATTGATAATGATCGAATCCACAACATTGATAATTATCGGATTCCCTCGTGTGATAATGTTCTGGAAGACTAGTTTATAAACAACTGCTCTCAAGGATACATTCAGCATAAGTAACTAGTAATCTAAATCTCGTTTCGCTACAGGCTACAATATCTTTCTTCTATGTATCGTGTCCCTTCAGGGCGTTGACGATCATGTCTTACCACAATTTCCTGTTGTTTGTAGATCTTTTTCATTCACCCCAAGCACGGCGATAATATCACTAAGACGCAAGGAGATACTGTGAGTGAAAAAGAATGAAACACAATCCTAAACAATGAAGAAGGGATAAACCTCTACTCCTGTTCAAAAGACCGAAGAGGGGAGTAAAAACATTTTTTATCTTCATGTTATCACTCCTAAACCATGTTTAGCGATCAATTGACTGAAGCTCGATCTGTAGTTTATGTGTTTTCCTCTGTTCCTCTTGCCTTCAGTCTGTCCTGTGAGTATCAGATTTTCCAAGCCGTCTTTCCTCATTATGTGCCCTAGAAATCTAACTGTCTATTTTTTATGTTAAGTATTAGCGTCCTTTTCGTTACCATTTTCTCTAGAATGTTGTCGTTGCTCACATGCTCAGCCCATGAACAGCATACTTCTGTAAAACCAAATTTCTGTTGCTTCACGTTTCTTCTTCATCTGTGAGGAGATTGCCGAGCATTCATCGCCATATAAAAGGACTGATAGACGGACTATAACATACTAATAATTGATTTTGATGCGAATATACAAAACATCATTCTACGGCAGGCACCCCTGACATCTGCTTAACTTCGTTTAGATTCTTAGAGGGCCTCAATAAAGATTGATTGATTCGTTTCCTACGGTTTATTAACCTTTTTGCAGGTTATTTAAAGTCAGAAAATACTATTTGACTGTAAGATTTTTTTAGATAATAATGGTTTAGTGATACAAGTCTAACTAATTAACCCATGGATGGGGTGGGCAGAGAGGTGGATTCAAACCTAATCAGAATTTGATAAACAAACAAGAGATTATAATGTGGATATAAAGTGGGGGTCAACTCTATATTACAATTGATATATAAAATGATCTCTCAGTTTGTGGCCACAGTAGTTTCTGCACATTTATATTCTGGAGAATTTAAATAAATCTAAAAGACATGCTTATGTAGCTAATCAGTATTTGATTGGTTTTCTACGGCTTATCAACACTTTGCAGGTTATTTAAAGCCAGGAAATATTTTAGATTGAAAAATTTTTTTTTTTTTTTATAATAATGATTTAGTAATACAAGTCTTACTAAGTAACTCATAGCTGGGAGGAGAGGTGGTGGATTCATATCTTTCCCAAGTGTATTTGCGTGTAAGTGAATATAACGAACCCAACAGGAATTGGAACTCGGCTCTCCGATTAACAATTTCAAGCCATTATCCATTGCACCATCCTCACATCCAAGCTTACAGAACTTGGTATTCCCAAGCTGTCACCCATCTACGTACTCACCAAGGTTGACATTCTTTAACTACGTACAGGAAACGGTGTTTCAATATGATGTGGCCGTAAGTATCAAATTCATATGAATGACTAGCGAAACTAACCTGATAACTTTCTTAATGAGGTTTTTTTCTTAATTAGAACAATGGCCGCTCTTGTCCGTCCGCCCGATTTATTTTATTTACCCGCGGCCAACACTAGAAATAACCAATCCATAAATTCTACTAAGTAATGGATCCAAAGCGCTAGATGCTAGTGAGGATCGAACTCATTGCTAACATGTAATTTACCTAATGATGTAAGCTTGATAACTATTACGCCACATCGAAGTGCTAGCAATTAGGACACGTACAAATTGAAGCCATGAAGTGTTTCCTTTAAGTGCAAAATTCAAAGTCATAAACGAAATAAAAATCATATGCTAACGATACAAAGATCTACGTTAAGAATGAGAATTCTATCATTTTTCTATTTCATTAACTATTGTTGTTAATCTTATAATGTAATTAATTCATAAATTAAAGTTTATCATTTTATAACAGGTTCGTATAAGAAACATCAATATATATATATATATAAAAAATATATATAGTATAAACTTTCTGGGCCAAAACTTTGGGGCCACTCTCTGGATTTCCAACAGTCGCTTACAACCTGAAGTTTGTGTCTTTTTCAAAACATATTCATTAGCTCACTTTGTGCCAGAGGGACTTTCTCTCCCTGAAGTGTTTTAGCATATGTTCAATAATAATAATAATAATAAAAGATTCCAATAGACTCATTGAAGAAATCCCTGGTAGGCCTTGCCTTAAAGAAATAGAAAAAAAATGTACTCACAAGTATAGCCCACACCTTACGAAGGGCTTTATCTATTTAAATATGTGTGACTTTTTTCAAAACTGCTCAGTGGAAAATATCATGATACCATTTCTGACCTTAGATCTCTGGTCGGGGCCCGGAAAGAAATGAGTATACACCAGAATAAATTCATTGATTCGTTTTCTATGGCGTATCGACTTTTTTCAGGTTATTTAAAGCCAGAAATTATATTTAGATTGCAAGAATTGATGGTTTAGTGATACAAGAGTTACAAATTCATCCATACCTGGGAGAAGAAGAGGTGGAATCATTATTTTCCCAAGGGTATTTGTGCAGAAGTGAATATAATGAACTCAACTGAAATTTGAACTCGGCTCTCCGATTAACAAATCCGAGTCATTATCTATTACACCATCCGCACTTTCAAGCTTACTGTGCCTAGTATTCCCAAGTGTCCACCCATCTAGATATTAACCAGGCTCGACGTTGCTTAACTTCGGTAATCGTGCGGGAACCGGTGTCTCAACGTGATGTGGCCATAAGTGTATTATTGCATAAAGTTTTCTTAAAGTTTTAGCTATTTTTTTTTTGTTGTTGTCTAAACTACCTTGCTAGCTAATGGTAATGCCAGAGCGGATTTTAAGTGTTTGGTAAACTACTCTGATCAAAGTTAGACGCCATGCACTAATAGGTTTAATAGTTTCAGCATCCGAGTTTGGTAGGAGTTAATAAAACAAAAGATGGAATGAAGCTTATTAATTATTAAATCCCGAGGCGGGGGGAGACAAACTGTTGGCCTATAAGTTTGTATAAAAAATATCAGCTGGTATAAAATGATTACGACTAAAAAGTTAATAGCAGATTTCTACTTTCACCATTCGGTTCCTCAATTTACAAGTGCAAAAATGTGCGATTTGCACCCTGATGAGCCGAAATCTGCCTCACACTGTTTTACTTGATCTTGTAACTGTATTTTGTGACTCAACGAACACTCGTTGACACTTTTGTGATGTCAACGAATACTCGTTGTCCCTTTCGTAATGCTGATTGTAGTAGAGACTTTGTAATCACAGATACAACTATAGTAACGCCGTTGAACAATGCTGCTGTCAGACGCCTTTGAACAATACTCACACTTGCTCGATAATACTAGCACCAATAGTTCTTTGAATAGTAATCGGTGTAGTGATCAGTATAGAGGATAGTGTAGAAATAGGGAATAGTATAGAGAATAGTGGTCCGAATAGTAATAGAGCATAGTCTAGAAATGACGATCGTTAGTCATCAGCTACTTTCTACATATATGCATTTCCTCTATGGTCACGGGGTCTACTTAATTCAATAATGGGATCACCTATGTTTGCTCACTGGCGATCTATGTTCAAACTCAAATGTCGGCAGCGACACTTTATTCTTATATAACACTGTATAGTGATTTTATTGACACCCTCTATGTAGGGTGTATCAAAAATACATTTACAAACTTTGGTGTGTGTGTGAGTGGAGGGGGGGCTCCTCATACCAAAACAAAGAAAAAAGTCCATATAAACATATGTCCACAAATCTTTCGTTTTTGAGTTATTAAGTTTAAAGCAATTTTACGATTGATGGCTCTGTGTTGGCATGTAGACTAGGTTGCATTTGTCATTCTTGTACATTTGTGGCTAATCTGTCTTCAACGTTTAACGTATGTAGTAGTAATTTAACTGGGAAGTGTTCCGTTTTACAATGGTAGGAGATTCATACCGTGAGCCGGCAGATATGATTTTTATATTCTGCTGCGCGAATGGTAATGGACGCGAGGCTGTACAGTTGTATCAGATTGCGTTTCCAGCCGAGTCTTCCGTAAACTTTAAACTTAATAACATAAAAAACGAAGGATTTGTGAACATATGTTTATATGAAGTGTTATCCTTATTTAGTGTGAGGAGCCCACCCTCCAAATTTGTAAAAACAATTTTTAATACATCATGTATATATATATATATAAATTCATCGAGTCTAGAAGAATCTTCAACGGAATGCAGAAAGCACTGGACGATCGTTTCGTCCTATTTTGGGACTCATCAGCAGTCCGCATCTATTACCGAGATTCGAACTCAAACCATTTCGATACAAGCATCATACCAACTGTACCAAGGGACCTCGGTGACGCAGAACAAACTGAATAGACTCGATATAGCGCAGCTACTCACAAATTCCATGATGATAGCCTACTAAGTATGCATAACCCAACGGATTGTGCCCCAAGAGTCACGACTTTCCTTTCCCCGATACGCTCCATCGATGAATTACTGTAATGATTTGCCTAAATCCCCATATTCTATTCTATTACTTGTATATCCCTGTTTGACCCAGCTATATATATATATATATATATATATATATATATATATATATATATATATATATATATATATATATATACAAAGTGGAGAATACAGATACAAGCCCAACAGATAGACTCTCTTCAAGTGTAAATCATGAAGTGATAAACTGTGGAAATAAAATTGCCCACTTGTCCTCAGAGATTCCAAGATATTTTTTCATCAAAATATTTTTGACTTTGACTTTATCAAACGGGGGAGCAGCCAAAGAGAACATACATTTTCTCCGGTGGCGAATCGCGTCTTTGATAAAAAAAAAAATTTACACTTTGTCTCATCATCATCACTTTTGTTTCGGATATTATACATCCTACAAACACAGACACAAACACAGACACACACACACACATACATATATTTTATATATATATATATATTTTTCAGAAAAAAATAAAATAAAATAAATAAATAAATCTCCATAGACATGTAAACCAGACTAGGCGAAATCATCTTCCGTTTTAAATTTAGACACCCCAACCTTACTCTGACTTGACATCTGTGAATGTAACTTTATACTGATGCAAATTATTAACACCTTACACCCCTGTTCATTTAAACAATTGCTCTAGCCGTTACCATAGAAATTTTGATTTCAATAATGAATATGCTATTAAAACACGTAAATTTCAGAAATAAGTTATTCCAAAAAAAAAAAAAAAATTCGCTTGAAGATGGAACAGAGCTTACTTTAATTCAAATAATTATATAGAAGTTTTCGGCTCTTGTTTTGAAACATGAGAACTCTTATGTAGCGTGTTGGAATCATATTTTTAAATAAATAATCATATATATATATATATATATATATATATATATATATATATATATATATATACTATTTTGTATAATTTTATATATCAACAAGCAGTATTCAGAAAAATATGACAAACTGGATAATTTCTTGTGACATGAAATTTTCCAGTTATCATATATATATATATATATATATATATATATATATATATAATGTGTCCGTAAAGTTTTGACACAGGAAATCTCATTAACTATATTTTTTCATCTCCACTGATATGGTTTTATCGAACGAAAAAAAAGAATTGACATGCTAAACAGAGAAGGTGTACTCAATGAAAATCACAGATGCAACACACTTGAATGAACGCAAGGAGGGTGAATGGGCTAAAATTGACGTCAATGTGGAGTTATTGCGTAGAGTTCACGTGAATCATCAAACGGCATCAATCTTTGGATCACAAATGATGGAAATCATAATGCAGATGTTATTAGTTAATATTACAATTCAATAAAATTTTGTTCAAAATTTCATTTCTTGAAAATATGCATTTTTGCCTATGTGTCCAGACTTTAAAGATCCCTATATATATATATATATATGTGTGTGTGTGTGTGTGTGTGTGTGTGTGTGTGTGTGTGTGTGTGTGTGTGTTGGTAGCGGTAATATCCGCAGTTTCAGGATTTAAGGGGGCGTTTTAAAGATATTACCCGCGGATGTTATTACCGTAACTATCTGTGAGTATTTTCGCGGGCTTTAATTCACTCGAGAAATTAAATGAATTTGTTGCACTGATATTTAAATAAAAATTCCTCCTATTTCATTGCTTACTTGAGCGAAAAATAACTCCTTATCGGACAGATTACAATGTTTTTTCGTGTTTTTTTTTTTAACTTGAAATACTAATATGAAAAAGGAATTGGCGCCTTACAAACAGATTTTTTTTCATGTGGTGTTATTCTCTCTCTCACTGTTAAACACGCTACCCAAAAAATAATCTGTGAAAAGTTCTCCGACCGACCAAAATCCGTATTCCTATTTTGCTTACTGAAATAGTGATTTGGGGAATTAGATTGAGTCGAGAAATCTTCAGCATTTTCACGTATAAATATTCTAAAGTGTTTTATGATGTCAACGAACACACGTTGCGACTTTTGTAATACTCGTTGTAGTAGAGACTTTGTAATCGCAGATACAACTTATAGTTCGCCGTTGAACAATTCTAGTGTCAAACGCCTTCGAGTAACCCTCACTCTAATAGTACTTCCTCGGATGGTAATCACCGTATAGTGATCTAAATAGAGAAGTAGTATAGTGAATAGCGTAGAGAATAGCGGTCCGTATACTATAGAGGAAAGAAATGGGAATCCGAATAGTAATAGAGGAAAGACTAGAAATGGCGATACGAATAGTAATAGAGGAAAGACTAGAATTGAAGATCGATCACGTGACTTCCTATACATGCGTTTCTTCTATGGTTACGTGATCCATGTCTTTAGTTCCTTCATTTCTTCTTATTTTCCTTGTTTTAATATCGACAAAACTCTACAGCGACTTATTGGCACAATTCGGCTATAACATCCCGCCGTTTCTCGTTAGTTTTATAATTCACTCTTGATGGCTTTGTTCACTGACAACTCCTAAGGGACTTCGAGAGTGACTTTCCTAATACAATACCACTAAAATATTTCTATTAGACAAAATAAAAAAAATAATAATGGAAGAATCATAGCCAAAGGCATTCCCTAATTGTCAGATTAGACTGAGCCGGTCTCATCAAAACATTATAGTCAGTCTAAACCCCAACTATGGATTAAATAGCCTCACCAAGCAGCAATTGGCCAACAGAAGTGAGAAGGACCTACATTTGTATTTGGAATCATATTGGTTAAAATAGTGAAGGAAATCGAAATCAGGAATGAGATTTATTAAGAAAAAAAATTCCGCCTCGTGTGTTGCGCTCACTTTCACACAAATAAAATCTCTCTCGCTTTGGATTAGATACCAGAGTGGACTAGGCTCTCTAGCCTTGAGTCGCTGCCAGTCTATGAGAAAGAATACTCAATAATGATGCCGTTTGTGCTTGCTCAGTGGCGATCTGTGTTCAAAGTCCAGTTTCGGCAGCGACACTTTATTCCTATATAACAGAGAGGATAATCGAAAAATACAAAATGTCGGATCCTATGTCAACTGACAAAATCTGTGAAACCTTGGTAATGCCAATTGTGAAATTAACCGTTTCCATAGAGGAAATGTCAGGTATTCATTGACTGAAAAGTAAGTTTGAAATTTATATTTTTTTCTTAAAACAGTTTTTCATGGAATTAGACGTCTCAAACTCACTTTTGGGACTTTCCTTCCAAATCTTTTGTTTTGGAGAATGTGGAAATCAAACATCTTGAT